TTCCTGCTGCTGCAACCTAAAAACTAGGTCACAGATAACAGTACCATCTGATTATTACTAAATGATTAGTTTCATGCTAAAATGGGACTCTTAAGCCCCTTTCAGACATGATACCTAGAAATTAGCAGGCTACATGTAGCCATGTAGCAGTTGCTTTATTGCTGTTCAGGCCTAGAGCTGCTGTGCGTGAAATTCCTGGCAAGGTTTTGTCCAAACATAGGAGGACCTAGCCGGGTACAGGCACAGTGTTCACATGATCCAACATCACTGGAGGCAAACACGCCATTATTCCTCTGCGCAGTGGGTGAGCAGTCCTTTGATTTTCATGTCGGCCCAGTTTCTAGCTGTTCAGCTTTGGCTTATGCTGCTAAACTGTATCTTCTCTGTACCTGTTCAAAATAAACTTTGTACTAACTAGTGATGTTACCTTCTTTTTATCTTTACGCCCAAATTTCACTGCCTCTCAAAATATAGGCCACGCCACGACAGGAAGAGCGCATCGGTCGTTAAGCAAGCTATATATTGAGTGAATAGGAGGAGCTGCATTAGCAAGAACAAATCAGACAGGGAAAAGGCTGTGCTGTAGCACTGTCATTTTTGACTGTGCCCTTCCCGGCAATTTGACCACTTCAGTTCAGACATGTAGCCTGTTAGAACGTAGGCGGCTATTTGTCTAGGTCCGACCAGGTAAAGCTGCCATTAACACATTGCCTGTTTCGCTACACAGGGCTTTGTTCAGATATGATGTGAAATGCTGAAATAGCCAGCACATTCCTGGCAAAGGGTGCATGTCTGAAAGGGATTTTAGTGTTGTGTGCACACTTCCATCAACTTCCAAGCTGCTTTACCTCACTAACATAAAAGTAAAAAGTCTGGCTTCATGCCAATAAGAGTTTCCTAATTTCTTATATAGGAAGTCTGATAGATCCAAATATTCCATCATAATCATGGTTTTAGTTTGAGTTCAAGTCATATTTTCTCAGACATGCAGTGATCTGTCACTGAGATATCATAGATAAGTTTTCCAATTAATGTCCTGACACTGTAGGTTACACAATATATGGACATTTTCTTTATTTTTGCAATAAACCATCTTGGCGGAAACTAAATTATTGTCTTCACATTTCCTCTCATGCTTCACTGCACACAGACATCTGTCTGCTTTGGCTCATGCTGGCTATCAATGTATGAAGTAAGCAAAATTAAAAAACAAAAAAGGCTTCAGCTCCAGCAGCTGTTACAAGAAAAGTGTCAAAGTGGAACTAAACACACTGACTGTTCCACACCCCAGCCCAGCAGGTGGCAGTAATGCGCCTTAGGTTGGCTTGCAAACCGCCAATAAACACCATTAGAAAAAGGAGACGAAGAATACGTCTGACTTCTGGCAGAAGTAACTGAAAAAACACATTAACAGCGCTGTTGATGTATGAAGTTAATAGAAGACGGCAGTGCCGTCTTATTGCAGATAAATATTTTGTTGTTGTAAATCAACAATGTCTTCAGTTAAGTGTCTGAGAGAGTTCGTCAGCGCAGACTGATGAATATCGTTTGTAAAGCAGAAGTAAAGCTACACAGAATATGTCTGTTACACCTGAATAATCTTCATACAACTAACAGAGAAACTTAAACTAACACAGGAATATGAGTCAGAGTGAATTGCGCTACACTTTTGCTCTGATTTCCGTTTGGCTTCTTCTTGTAAAACTTCCGTGAAAACATAAGGGAGAAGGAATCATTAAATCATTAGCATCTCTGACTAGATGGACAGTCTTATTTCAATTTTTACTCTAGCATTTTTGTTACCTTCTGAACATGGTACAGTGACCATTTAGAAGACGCTGTGTCTGCAAAGTTTTACATTAATTAAAGCTACATTAAATAACTTCTCTTTCTAATTTCCGACCGTTAAGAGTGTAAGAGACTGTTAAAACAAACAGACAGTATTCAATTAATCATTACAATTACAAAGACTGTGAATACATTTCTACTTATTTTATACAGTCCTCTTTTGTCTTCACTTCTTGCGCTTTCAACTACACAACTGCGTCTAACAAATGAATGAACCAACTCATCTATAGACACTTAGGTGGACTAGAGAATTTAAATAAAACCTGATGAAAAAGAAGCATCACTTTTTTTCTCTCATCACATCAGTGACCTGTTCCTTCCTTTGTCCCTCCAGAGCTGCCACAGCAACATGTCTGTCAGGAGGAGGAGGTTCTGGCTGACCAGCAGCTCTGGAACCAGGAGAGGAACTCCAGTCTGGACCAAGAGGACCCAGAGCCTCCACAGATTAAAGAGGAACAGGAGGAACTCTGCAGCAGTCAGGAGGGAGAGCAGCTTGGACTGAAGCAGGAGACCGATGCCTTTATGTTGACTCCTACTTATGAGGAAAGGGACCACAGTGAAACAGAACCAACCAGTGACCAGCAGCTTCTCTGTCACAGCTCTGCTGTAGTTGAGAGCCAGGATCAGGAAGGAAGCCAGCATGGAGACTCAGGATCAGCCAGTCACAGTGGTAATGTGGACAACTCTCCCCTGTCAGAGACTGACTCTGATCCTCCCACAGGTAAAAAGTTTAAGTGTGACACTTGTGGAAAAGCTTTTACATATCAGTCTTAATTGAAATACCACCTGAGAACCCACGCAGGTGAGAGGCTGTATGTTTGCAAAACGTGTGGTAAAAGATTCACTCATTTATCATCATTGACTGTTCATTTAAGAATCCACACAGGTAGAAGCTGAATGTTTGCAAAGCATGTGGTGAAAGATTCAAAGACATAAAGAAAGTCACTTTCAGCTTTTCTTGTTTAGGGGTCGCTACAGTGAATCGTCACACTGACGACTCACATGTTGACATTTGGCACATGTTTTACGCCAATGCCCTTTTTGACGCAACCCTGGTTTGAACCCGAGGCGCAGCGGCGGGAGCACTGTGCCTTAACCACTAGCCTACCAGGGACGGCTGAAATACTCAAAGGCATAGCAGGATTGAATTATCATTTGAGAATCCACACAGGTGAGAGGCCTCCTTTAGCTTGTAGCCAGGATCAGAAAGGAAGCCACGGAAGTAGAAATGTGGACAACTCTCCCCTGTTAGAGACTGACTCTGATCCTCCCACAGGTTTGTGAAGTGTGACACTTGTGGAAAAGCTTTTAAGTATCAGTCTCAATTGAAATACCACCTGAGAACCCACGCAGGTGAGAGGCTGTATGTTTGCAATACCCCTTGGAAAAGGTTATAAATAAGAAGAGGAATCGTTTCCAGTGCAAGCTGGCACATATCAAATGCCCAGTAACAACATGTGCTGTGGTTAACTGACGGGAGAAGCTTAAACATGTCTCAACCATGTCAGAAGAAAAAAATTGGCAATAAGAGCATTGTTTCAGCAGAAATACAACTGTGCTGTTTGACTTGTTATTCCAACCAATCTATATGGCAGACTGACATTATATAGCCTCAATTTAAATGGGTTGCAATTTAAATCTTGTATCATGTGCAGCTGTCTTTCATTGATTTTGAATTGCTCAGAAATATGTTCTTGTCACTCCTTTACATATGGATGTTAATGTGGTCGAAATCATCGCTGAAGTTCATTCCAGTTGATTTGATGGCAATTTAGGCTATTTATATAATTAAAAAAGGAAGAACCAATATTAGAATAGTCTCCCTGAAACGTCGACTGACAAAATCCTTAGTCAGGTACAATCCTAACATACAGTATGTATGATTGTGAAGGAGGTATTAAATTGCATTCTGTGTGGCGTTTAATCGGCCTTAACAAGGGAAGAGAGGTGTGTGTGTGATTTCAATGTCGGTTCAAACCTGTAGAGTGTTTTAAAGAAATAAAGGACAAACACAAATCTTGTCACAATTATTCCTTGTGTTTATTGTGTGAACTATACTGAAGGGCTGTTTCCACTCATCTTGCTTTTTATTGTCAGGTTCCAGCTGGCTCCCTATCTATGGCAGATCAACTGCTACTAATGCTACTGTGATCAGTGTCTAAAGAAGTGTGGGCAAAAATGCTTTTTAAAAATCTTGTAATTAAGTGTTTATAAGGTGATAAAATAAAACCAAGTGTATCATACTGAGCAAGTTGAATATTAGTTTGACGGAACAAAAAGCTGACTCCTGTCCACTGCCGAAATGTTACAGTGTGACATCCGGCGGAAGTAAAGGAATAAAGCAGGAACTGCGTTAGTTCTGCGGAAGTAGTAGAAGACGGTGCCGTCGTTTTTTTTTTGCAGATGAATATTTCTGTCCTAACAATTCAACAATGTCTTCAGTTCAGTATCTGAGAGAGTTCGTCACCGAGCGACTAACTGCTGCTGTTGAAGAAATATTCGGAGTCTTTGAGAAAACTGTCGTCGAGTACGAGGAAGAGATCGATCGTCAGCGCAGACTGCTGGATATCGTTTGGAAACCAGAAGTAAAACTACACAGAATAGGTCTGTTACACCTGAATAATCTTCATACAACTAACAGAGAAAGTACAGCTAACATATATCATTCCTTTTTATAGTTATTTGATTTAACCTGAAAACAAAATGGATAAACTGTTCAGAATTTCGTTTTTGAAGACGTGGAAAAAGGGAAAACCCGTATATTTTGTTTTCATTACAATATGTTAAATCACGTAAACAAGAAAAATAAAACCAAAATCAAGCCTTATTTTTTGTTTTGCTTTCTTTCTATCGTGCGCGTGCGCAGACAGTGCCGCTGCGCCCGCTCCCACAGAGCGGCCTGTATTATGTGTAATATTCACACAGATTAGCTCATTGATGATAAGTAACCGCAGCTACAGTGTTGGAAATGTATAGTCTGTGGTGACTTTCTGATGCTAGTGGGACTTTTGCATCGTGCTGTAGCCTCTGTGTGAAGTCTCTGTGTAAAATTATGTAGCCTATTTAATAACTCTCAGCATTATTCCCAAAAGAATATAGGAGAATAATCCTGCATCATAGACAGTCTGCATTGCATTTCACACACCTGTGTAAATGAATGACTCCGTGTGGTTTACTTCAGAAAGTTTCTATTTGTGAGAAAAAAAATGCTGTTAGGCTGCGTCTGACTTAGGCCTACATTCACAGCAGGCAGGCATCTGTCATGGACCTGACAGTGAAGAAGGTTAGGTCTATAGGCCTGTCTCTGATTATCATCCGTTAATAGACTAATGTTCTTTCACTCATTGGGGTTAGTATTATATTTAGACTACATCTTGTGCTGCCCCTTATTGTCCAATAGAAAGCAAATGCAACCTACTGGTCAGGGAGGCGGCACTGGTGCAGTGTGTCAGCGAAGCGGTAGATACGGGTCCCAGAGAGAACCAAGAAACAGAGGAACCAGGGAGGAGAGTCAAGGAATAGGCCTCCGCTCTCTCCGCAGCCCGTGGAGGGGGTGTCAGCAAGGCTGTAAATACGGGCCTCAAAGAACACCGAGATACAGAGAAGGCTGTATGAAGGCCAAGATATGCTCACCCCTGCACATAAGAATAAAGCTTAACCTCTCACACTAAGGTGGCATATTTGAAACATATTAAAGCTCTAAACAGAGATCTTCACTCAGTAATTGACTACCATGAACCTGCCAACAGAGTTCCCTGCAGACCTCCCTCTTCCTTGCTATTAATACAGGATAAGACCCCAAACCTCACAAATAATAGCAACCTACAGTTATTGTGGCAGCTACCCCCATAACCCTCAGATGTTACCGTACTGAGAAACTTTTATAAACCAGGATACTCTGGCTTTTTGAGGAAGTGTTAAATTTTGTCTGAAATAACCAATGAAAGCTGTGTCACTGGACACTTAAGACCATATTTGTTTTGCACAGTATTTAGTTGACCTAAGATGTTATTAAGGATAGGATATTTAAAGAATAATGTGTAGTATGTAACAAGTAAATAACTGGATATTTTAGATAAAATCTTTTTCTGATATAACTTTCTAAACACCGCCTCCCTTCGTACAGCCAGCCAGTTTTGTATGGCATAACACCTGAGCAACAAGCCAAATCACAAAAGTGCTGCTTGTGTTGTCACCGTGAGGTATCTGCAGCCAGGTAGCTTGTTAACACTGCTGGGTTGCCACTGCCTGTTTTAACTTTCTGAGACACTGTTGAGAAGGTTAGCATACTATTAATACTATGAATTGCAAACCCTTTTCTGATGTATCTGCCTAAAAATCATTTTAGCAGTTTAATCTGGACCTTCTGTCAACCCTGTGAACTGTTATGCAACCTCACATGCTCACTAAGACTTAGGTAATCACACTCACTGGGAATTGGGTAACCAAACACTGAGAAATGTGTCTTCCCCATTACCACCCTAAAGTGCAAACTCACTAAAATCATAGGAATGTCAATAACATCAAACTTGACTCAATAACCACAGAGTATTAAACCTTTTCAGGAATTTTATATAGAAGCTTAACAGAGCTACAGCAAAGCAACAAGCAATAAAATATAAACCTTAAAATCATCAATAATCAGCTTCCAGTCTAAATAAATCAACAACTACTAATTCTAAACATAAATTTAAAATGATCATACTGATTAAAATCATTATGGCTAAGCTCTTGATCTGAATAAAAGTCAAAAGTCTCACGTCACCGATCCTCACCTGGCTCTGGGCGGGCGGTGGCAGATTGGGGCAATCACTTGTTCCTCTTTTTTTCTATTTGCAATGATTAAAGCTTTCACAAGGGAAAAGAATTTACAAACAAAAATATCAGAGCTCATCCGGTTCAATCCTCAAAACTCTCCATGAGAGAAATAGGACAAATTCAGATATACAATGATTTTCTTGGTCAAATCTTTATAAAGACATGAAAATGTCTAAAGCTGTCTTCTTTTCAAGACATCTTTTCCCCACCAGGCCAGGTGGATTTTGGCTTTTTGTTAAAATTCATGATTTCTTCATTAATCATCTTTGAAACAGGAATTCAGTTTCCCTGCTGAAGAACTGTGAGGCTCTGCCACAGTTTCATCATCCCACATCGGCATGAATCCTCCTGCTCTGACAGGCCAATGCCTGTGTCCAAGCACCCAGAAAGCCCCTTTTCTGGGTTTCTGTTACTCACTTGTTGGCATGCATCTTCCTCTTCTGACAGGCCGATGCCTGTGTCCAAGTACCCAGAAAAGGGTCTCACTCCCTTGTTGGCATGCATCTTCCTCTTCACAGGCTGGGGCCTGCGGGGGAGCACCCCCCGAGGGGGGCCGTCTCCCCGGACTGCCTCTCCGCAGTCCTCGGTCTCCTGGAAGTCGGATGGTCAACCAGACAGAGCCTCCGGCCGCAGCCATGAAAAGACTCTCTGTTCCTCTTTTTGCCTCGGTTTTTATAGGGTTCTGGTCAGTGAGTTTTGTCCTCTCATCCAACCAGATGCCACAGTTTGCAGTTGATACCTTATTTGGCGTGCAAAATCATATTCTTCTGAAGTGTTGCATCTTTTTTACTGCCAGTCCAAGCCCACTGCCCGTAACCAGCCTCCGCCCCACTGTGATCCAGCCTTGGATTCTACTTCCTCTTTTCTAGAAAACTAAACCATCTGAATACATAACAAAAATACAAGAAACTCACATCTGACTGAAATATAAAAATTCCATCATTGCTTTTTTAACAGATCAACCAGAATTACACACTGATTTCACACAAAACTACCAATGCCTTAAAATAAAAAATAAATCTTTATATTTTGAATACTTTACTTTGACTAAACATGGATTATCACTGATTAGACATTGATCAAACAATTATCAGTCAAATTTTTACTTTTAGGCCTGAAACATCATTTTTGTTACATCCTCAGTATGGTGTGTGTCTTTTCTCTGTGTCACATACACACACTTCTGCAGTTCTGGGATGTGTGTCTACTTCCTCTTGTGTGATTCTGTACTTTTCACTCTGTTAGTAAGATGTAAATCAGTTTCCCCCATCCTTTTAATACAACCATTTCACATTTTATTTAACACATTCACTAATGGTTATTTCAAACAAAACACACATAAATCATTTTATGATTATCTTTATTTATTAAAAGCTTAACTTTTCTAAGCATTCTGCCACAGCATTTTAATAATAATTCCTTTGTCCTCTCCAACCTCCCCGGAACTTCCTCTTTCTCCTCTGCCTTCTCTGTATCTCGGTACTTTTTGAGGCCCGTATTTACAGCCTCGCTGACAGGGGGTAGAGCAGTCGTCTCCCAACCATCCGTATCATCCGTTAATAGACTGATGTTCTTTCACTCATTGGGGGTAGCATTATATTTAGACTACATCTTGTGCTGCCCCTTATCGTCCAATAGAAAACAAATGCAACCTACTGGTCAGGGAGGCGACAGTGGTGCGGTGGTAGAGCAGTCGTCTCCCAACCAGAAGGTTGAAGGTTTATTTCTGTACCAGAAATAAATTCCTTGTGTGTAACATACTTGGCCAATGAAGGTGATTATTCTTATCCTTATTATCAGCCTCGCTTTCATCAGAGGTGGAGGAGGTGACAGAAAGGGAATGAATTCAATCAACAGGATCTTTGACTGTAGAATGAAATGCTTTTCATGTCATTTATAATACTGACTTTGAATTTTTACTTTACTTCTTTATGTGGTTGTCTTCTGAACATGGTACAGCACCGATTTGAAGTTATTGCATTTTCTCATTTAAAAATTATAAAGCTTTTCATTACAAACCTCAAAGAGGACTTTGCTGTTAATTGAATTTTTCCATTAATCATCACATTTTCCAGTTCATGGGTCAATTTGAAAATGAGTGAATGAACCAACTCCTCTACAGACACTTGTAAGGTGGACTAGAGAATTCAAATAAAACCTGGTGGATAAGAAGCATCTTTTTTTATTTTTTTCTCTTATCACATCAGTGACCTGTTCCTTCCTTTGTCCCTCCAGAGCTGCCACAGCAACATGTCTGTCAGGAGGAGGAGGTTCTGGCTGACCAGCAGCTCTGGAAACAGGAGAGGAGCTTCAGTCTGGACCAAGAGGACCCAGAGCCTCCACAGATTAAAGAGGAACAGGAGGAGCTCTGCAGCAGTCAGGAGGGAGAGCAGCTTGGACATAAGCAGGAGACTGATCCCTTTATGTTGACTCCTACTTATGAGGAAAGGGACCACAGTGAAACAGAACCAACCAGTGACCAGCAGCTTCTCTGTCACAGCTCTGCTGTAGTTGAAAGCCAGGATCAGGAAGGAAGCCAGCATGGAGACTCAGGATCAGCCAGTCACAGTCGTAATGTGGACACCTCTCCCCTGTCAGAGACTCAGTCTAAACCTCCCACAGGTAAAAAGTCTGTCAAGTGTGACACTTGTGATAAAGTTTTTAAGTGGAAGTCTGAATTGGATAGACATTTAAGAATCCACACAGGTGAGAGGCCGTATTGTTGTCAAACCTGTGGAAAAAGCTTCATACAACGGACAAGCTTGGTGATCCATATGAGAATCCACACAGGTGAGAGGCCGTATTCTTGTCAAACCTGTGGAAAAAGCTTCACACAACAGACAGGCTTGGGGATCCATATGAGGACCCACACAGGTGAGAGGCCGTGTTATTGTGAAACATGTGGAAAAAGTTTCACATGTCACAGTTACTTGTCAACCCATATGAGAGTCCACACAGGTGAGAGGCCATATGTTTGCAAGACATGTGGGAAAACATTCACTCAGTCATCATCTTTGAATGGTCATTTAAAGATCCACACAAGTGAGAAGTCATATGTTTGAAAAAAGTCACTTTCGGCTTTTCCCGTTTAGAGGTCGCCACAGCGAATCGTCACACTGACGACTCGCATGTTGACATTTGGCACGTGTTTTACGCCAGATGCCTTTTCTGACGCAACCCTGATTCGAACCCGGGCCGCAGCGACGAGAGCGCTGCGCCTTAACCACTAGCCTACCAGGGCCGACTGTAGAAAACTTTACATGTAACAGTTCCTTTTTGATCCCTATGAGAACCCACACAGGGGGTGACAATGGAGTTAATAACTTTCTTCTTCCTTGGTCCTAAATCAGTCATTTCCTCTCACCACAACTTTATCAAGTTAAACTTCCCAGGTTAAATCAGTCCAGACCATTCTGTATCTCAGTCATTTTCATCCTTTGTTCTATCACATCTGAACTGCATTTGTATTCACTTTGTTTTTGGATTAATAAATGACATAAAATTCAGTTCTGCCGTCTTGTTCTTTTCTGTTGTGAAACTATGAAGTCACTGTATAGAGAAATCACTTTTCACATTGAAGATTGTTCATGTGATTAGTAATTTATGGATGATTAATTGATCACAATGAATGTCACTTTCAGCTTTTCTCGTTTAGGGGTCGCTACAACCAATCGTCACACTGATGACTCGCATGACGACGCAACCCTGATTTAAACCCAGGCCGCAGCGGCAAAATCACTAGCCACTAGCCTACCAGGGAGGCTTCATCACAATAACTACAATAATTACATTAAATCATGGTTTGTCTGACACAAAGCGGTCCTGCTGCTCGAATCATGTTTCTGAAACATCTGAGGCAGAAGCTGATCATCTCCAACAGCTGAATACTAATTACTACTGACTAATAACAAGTGTAATATCAACACTGATTCACTCCTCAAACATTGGTCACAAGATCAACAGAAAATTCTACAAAAACTGTTTAACACTCAGCAACACAAGGCACAATAAAAATTAATCTGGATATTTTTCATTTTTCCTAATTTTTCTTCTTCTCCTTTGAGGCAAAGACACTGCTAACTGGGAGGGAGACGGCAGGCTGGGCGATGATGGGCATTTGGCCTCATATTGCTGATGGCTGTGTATGGAGACCACAACCCTCCAGAGGTGGCCACGGATATTTACCACTGTCTTTAACAGCAAGAAGACTGGGATAATGAACAGTATTGAAACAGTTGTGCTGGAGACAAAATATCCTCAAAGAGGAGAAAAAAACCATAAAACCCAGAAATGCTAGATCAGTTCTGGAGGCATTGTACTGAGCAGGGACTTAAAAGTTATGCAATGACACAGTATTTGTTCTAATGTTGTGCAAATTGTTTCAAAACTACTCAAACAATTGTGACACCAAATACATCCTTCCACATCACCGCCGTTTACTGACCAGTTTCACATGTCACATATCTGGGACGATTTTTGCTACATCTGCTGTTGCTCATATATAAATCAAGTGTAACGTTAAGTAGAAGGTGCTTTTCGTGTTTGATACTGGTTAAACCGTTGTCCAAGCTCCACGGTTAACAGACAAAAATTGTCATTTATATTTACTTGATATCTGTACTTAGTGTGGTGTAAAATTTACAAATAAAACCCTATAATGAGCTCCTAAAAAATTCCTAAATATGTTTATACATGTGTGAATTAAGTAAAACATTCATATTTATTTAAAATTTGTTTGTATTTCTTTTTTTCGCTTTTTATGTCTCAGTTTAAAACTGAACTCACGTCCACCTTACGGCGAGGGCATTCTTATGGTTGTTATGTTCCGCCAGCCTGTATGAAAACATTTAGCTAAGGTATTCTGTGCCTGATATAAAGAGGTTATTTGTTTTGTCCTGTTGAGGGCAGTATAACATCTCATGGTGCATATGGTTGTGTTGGTTACAACAAATAAACAAATAGTTATAATCACAGTTATAATAATATAGTTACAAGTTAATATAAAATGAAGTGTGTAGATTACACATAGACATTACAAGAGCTAAGGTATTCTGTGCCTGAAATAATGTCCTTGGTAGGTTAGTGGTTAAGGCGCTCTGGCCACGGCGCCCCAGGTTCGAATCCAGGTTACGTCAAGTAGGGCATCTGGCGTAAAACACGTGCCAAATGTCAACATGCGAGTCGTCAGTGTGACGATTCGCTGTAGCGACCTCTAAACGGGAAAAGCCGAAAGTGACTTTCTATTCTGTTATTTTGTTTCTTCTGTTGAGGGCAGTATAACATCTCATGGTGCATAACCTAATAGTATATATATGGTTGTGTTGGTTACAACAAATATACAAATAGTTACAGTAATATAGTTACAAGTTAATATGAAATAGTGTGTAGATTACACATAGACATTACAGGAGTAGTTAGGTCACAGTGAGTTTAAAAAAAAGTTTACATAACTTCTGCAAGTTTTTCTCTGTACTTTGTGGACTAATATAAACGTAGAAGAAATCTTCTGGATGTAGTTTTAGGTAGAAGACGTTTCACCTCTCATCCAAGAGGCTTCATCAGTTCTGTCCGACTGGTGGTGAGCAGGAGGTGTTTATACCCCTGGGTGGTGTTTCAGTCCTTCGCCGGCCAAGAGGAAATGTCCTTAACAGGAAATGAGCCAACCTGGCTCATATACTGAATAAATATTCACTGGATGAACATTCCACAGAACAATCCCTGGAAAAAGGGATGTACCCTGATGTGAAACTGAGAATTTGGCATAAACAACAGTATGATGAATGAACACTTAGAGGGAATAAGAGCCAGTGTTCGGCTGTATTAGAGTGGGAGTTGCCAGAAGGGAGGCAGCGGGTCTCCTGTCTGCTCACGTGCACCAAACTCTGCAGAGGAAACGTTGATCTCTATCCCGCATGTTGATATAACATTGTACTAATAAATGGTCATTGGAATTGTAGTGATTTGTCTGTGATTTAATTTGGGTCACCGAAAGACTTATCCACTACATGGTGTAATATTAAAAGAAGAAGAAGGACAACACGTCCACCGCTGGAACTTCACTGTGTGACATCCAGCGGAACTAATCAACGTGCTAGCAGCTTTAGCTCTGTGGATAAACTGTGGTATTGTTGTTTCCCAGTTCAATACTTCACTTTTAACAAATCAACAGTGTCTTCAGTTAGGGTGACCATATGTCCTCTTTTTCCCGGACATGTCCTCTTTTGGGGACTAAAAAATTGCGTCCGGACGGTATTTCTAAATCTCATAAAATGTCCGGTATTCGGCTTTTGCTGCAGTCGTCATTAATTGTATGCGTTTTTGCATCACGTTTACGTTTCTCTTAAGGCCTCGCCTTGTTCCACGCCACCATTGATTGGTCATATACGTATGCAATCGTTGGCCAGTGTGTCTCAATCTCTCAGCACAATGGCAACAGACAGCCAATAGGAAGAGAGAGAGCAGCTGCTTACCTGTCAGTGGATGGCACATGGCTCCTGTGCAGAACGATGCCCAAACGCAAATGTAAATTCACGAAAGATGTACAAAAAAAATTTCGAAGTTATTTATGTATTAAAGTTCAGTAACATAGTTTCATGGTTGTGAATGCATTTGACAAGTATTTACACCCCCCAACCCCATCCCGATCCTTCCAACCACAGTGTCCGTCTGCCTCCTGACCCCACTGTCCTCTTATTTGAAAAGTGAAATATGGTCACTGTTAGGTATTTTTAGTTAGATAGACATTGGTTAGATACTTCATGTATTAGAAATGTTTAGGGTAGACAGGATGTCTAGCTCAGGCTGTTAAATGCTTAGTCATTCCCATAAGGGTACTCCAGGTTGTTCAGGTTCAAGGATAACTAGACAGAAAGTCGATTGTTGTTAGGAGACAGAATGTTTAATATTATTATTATGACGTGTTGAACCATAATCGTAGTCATAATATTTTCTTATGCTTAATGTCATGTTAGAATGTTTTAGCTACACACCACATAATTAACAGACATTCACACATTGATTTTCTTCATGCTTTGACTACTGCTATGGCCAGCTGCAAAGCTGGCACCGGGAGGCGTCACGGTTTGGCGTCCCTGAGTAGTATGGGGCTAGCCCGAGGTGATATAATGTATAGGCCTGTTATGGTTCAGGGCTTTTCATCTTTCAGCTGCCTGCGTGCATGTTGGAGGTGCAAGATACCTGAGCGTGTAATGTTAATTTTTACCTGTGTTCATTGAATAAATCAGCACTGTCTTGAAGTTACTTGGACTGCCTCGTCTCTCAGAGTTAATGGTGAAAAGAACTGGGTCCCCAACAGTCACCCTACTTCAGTTCAGTATCTGAGAAAGTTTGCCACCAAGCGACTAACTGCTTCTGTTGACAAAATTTTCGGAGTCTTTGAGAAAACTGTCGTCGAGTACGAGGAGGAGATCGACGGTCAACGCAGACTGCTGGATATCATTTGGAAACCAGAAGCAAAGCTACACAGAATAGGTCTGTTACACCTGAATGATCTTAATAATACTAAAGGATGAACTGAATATAACATGGAATTATCACTCAGTATGAATTAAACTGTTACACAGGTTCCCTTTTTTGTCACAACACTGGTTCCTTATTCCAAAGTTCCCATATAAAACGAGAGATTTGACTTTTTATAATTAAACGGTTTCGATACTGAATAAGCATTTTGCTTTCTCTAGCATGTTTTGTGAATACCTTCAGAACATGGTAACGTTACAGTGGCAGATGTTTCCCCTAACCTGAACCCCAATCTTATCCTAACCATAACCACTGAGGGGTGCTACATGAAACACTTATAGCGGGGACACATCTTGACCGGGCCTCGGTGTGTTGGTGCCGTAGGGCACTTGTTGCTTTGGCGGCCCCTCACCCTCACACAAAGATTTAGTTGACTTCTACGACTTGCTTTACGAGCTTAACTGTAGTTTATTACCAACTAGATATCCAACACCATTGTTTAACTAATAAAAATAAATGGTGAATGTATTGGCCACTATCTTTTATAATCACTCTGTCTGTTAAAAGGGTAATGTCACTTGGACTATTCCATTTTCCTCCCCTCTTGTTTCTCCCCCCGCGAGTGGTATGTTCCAGTTTTCAGAGTGTGTCACATTAGCCACCGTGTGAGGGGCTAAATAGCATTGTGTTCGGAGTTCCAGTTAGTCGGAATGTATTACCAAGTTTACCCCCATTCTGGTGTGCGTCCATGAACGTGAGTAAAGTTTGCTGTATTCTGTGTTGGTAGTAAGAAGAAAAAAGGCCGAATTACGTTAAAGAATTGACGTCTTATGTATTCGCTAGTGTTACTTATGTAGACTTAGAACGCCCTTCTGCGGCTAATTTGGGACTATTACACGGTCCGTTTCATCTGCGATATCAGGTCATATAGACACGTATGTAACCCAGAAATGGTTAATTTGGGATGTATCTGTTTGATTGTGTAATATCATTTCATCATTTGTTGTTATTTGTATTTCTTGATTTAGATAACCACACCTTCGATATGTGGAATAAAGTTGTGATCTAATAGTCACTTCAGTGGTGGGCTGTGCTTTAAACCCAAGTCCAAGAGAGGCCAAAGTCAACCAAGACGATTTTGTCGACTCACAGTGGGCCGTTAAAGAGACGTGGCCCCCTGAGAGAGACTCTCACTGGAGTGATAAACATGCATTACCAGGAGAGAAAGAAGCACTGCTTAACGAGCTGAGAGAGTTAAGGCAACAGAATGTTGCACTGCGCTGTCAGAACGAGCGCAGTCAGATGAAACTGGAGACCCTCAGTCATCACAACACTTCTGATACCCAACTTCGTAAACAAGTAGAACATTTGGGAGCACTGGTTGAGCAGTTACAGATGACCACACAGAGGTCACCAATGGCAACCACAGCAGAGTCTCAGCTCCCACCCCCACAATGTTATTCAGTGTTTCAACTGAGAGAAGATAGTTATTCACATCACAGTTATAGGAGGTACTACACCAGTTCATCTGATAGTGACGATTCTGAATATCAACACCAGTCACCCTCACACAGGCGTCATGCTTCTCAGTCAAAGCAGTATGATGACTCATCCAGGAGCAAACACCGTCACTCACGTCACCGAACGCTAAGCCCAGTAGGTGGACAGGAGCAGTACTACAGAGGGCCAACACCCACAATTCCTGATATGAGTTATCCAAATCCCAGAGAATACAATCGTCTGAAAATTGCTTTAAGCAATCTCCTTCCTCCCGATGCATCAGAGAGATTTAAATATCAGATCCTGGTCGATCATTTGAAGACAGAAGAAGCATTATTGGTTGCTGATTCCTACAGTAGTTCAAATCATCCATTCACTGACACTATGGCAGCTCTTGACCTGCAATATGGGCAGCCTCACCAGCTGGCTCTACAGAGGATAGCCGAACTGATGGATGGCCCAAACGTTGCAAGTGGTGACCCTAGAGCCTTCAGGATGTTTGCTCTTCGTGTACGCTCCTTGGTCAGCATGTTGGAGCAGCTGGGCAGAAAGGGCAGAGTCGAATTAGAGTGCGGCTCACACGTTTCTCGTCTACTGGGAAAGTTTCCACATGACCTTCGCTCCAACTTTCGTCGCTACATTTATCCGCACAGCGTGCCCATACCAACTCTCCTGGATCTTGCTGACTGGTTAGAGTATGAGCTCCAGGTGCAAGAAGATAACACTAGGTTCAGCGGCAGCACAAAACAGGAGAAAGAACCAAAGCAAAAGGGGCAGACTAAACCCCGTAAAGCCACAATGGGTCGCTCAACAATACTGATGAGCTTGGCAGATACACCTAAAAGGGAGACCGTCCCATCAGCGTCCTCAGAAGCTACAACTAAGAAGTACTGCCCTTACTGTGATAACAGTAAACATTCATTGAATAACTGTGCTAATTTCAAGATGATCAGCACCGCTCAAAGGCGGACTTGGATTAAAGCCAAAAATGGCTGCTGGCGTTGTGGCCGTGACCATCGTGCTGCAGAATGCAACCTTAAGATGCGTTGTAAGACATGTAACAGACGACACTTACTTGCGCTGCATGATATTAA